TGAGTTGGCTGACTGTTCATACTGTTTCTCGATAATATTAAAAAACATTCCATTTTGCTATACACCTGAAACTAACACAACATTGTAAATCAACTATATTTCAATTTAAAAAAATTTCATAGTGAAAAAAATCTCATTTTGTCCCCAAATTGGATATTGTTTAAATATGAACAAAAATGATATTTTTAGTTCAATGTTAATGTCTCTCAACATTTATAAGTAGCAGCTTTTACTTCCCTAGAGTTCTGTCAGTTTTTATAGTAGCTATTTTTCACCTAAGTTCTTTTCAGTGTTATATAGTCTTTTGGTTTTAACAATCAGAATATTTGCATTCAGTACTTTGGAATGATCCTAATTTAAGCACAGAGTTTAATTTTAAATTCTCTGCAACATAAGAACATATACAAAACTAACCCTAACTGGGAACACTAGTGATTACCTATAGTGTTTTACAATGGCCATTTTTACTTTGGTTACAAAGACCCAGTTTCTTAGAATCCCATATTGTTTGTTGCTTCAAGATAAAAAGGAAGTATAGAAATCTCTGGGAAGATATGCATAAGTATGATTTAATCACCAATATTGTATCCATTTAGCTTTTCTCCTTGTCAGGAATGTTGCCTGTTCTAGGCAGAGAATGCTTTTGAAAGTACGATGTTAGCTGCATGCAAGTACTTGTGTCTGCATGCTAGGAGGTAGCCATAAAGCTTACAGCATCTTAATGCAGAACAAATGGCACTTACAGTTTCAGTCTCTTTAGAATCATTAGAGTGGTTGAAAACTGGATAGAGAGTATATATTTATGACGAAAATACCAATAAACCATGGAATTCATAATTCTTATGAAATATATAGTTCTACTGAAGCTGCAATACATTTTAGAATCTGAATTAGAAGATTTGTAGTTCATTTTTTTAGCAAATTCCTGTGATGTTAGGAATATTAAAGGATTTCTGTAAATTATAAAGTATATAAATGTGTATTTATATATAAAACACACATATAAGTTACCTGAAATATAAGGTTACCAGAAAAAAAATGTTTTTGAATTAGCGGTAAATTGGTTCATCCAAGTTCGCAGTTTAGTTTCACAACATAGGTGTACAGACAGTTTGTTTAGATGTTTAATTTTTTCCCCCATCTGTTCTGTCAGGATTATTGATTGAGCAGTAAGCCACTCCAGGGCATACATAGCCTCCTCATAACTGCTTGCCTTGAGTGCATTGTGTGGCCTGGCGAACAAGCTGAGGAAGGTGTTCCTTCAGCTTCGCAGTAAATCTTAATTGGTAAAAGAATATTGAAATGAGTATGTTTTTTCAAAGTACCCAGTAGCCAAATATTTACATTGGGAACTTTAATTGATGGTATCATTTTAAAATATATAATTTATTATTTAATGTCATCCTTTGAAATTAATAACCATTCAAGAGCTGTTCATGGTGATTTTTTAAACTCATCTGGGTTTTGATAAGTAGAAATATCTACATTAAATGTTATCAAATATTAATCAATATTGCCAGAACATTTAATAGTAATTGATAACCTGCTGTGACTTCCTTGAGTCTTAGATTTTATTATATCATAAAGTGAAGCAATCTCTGGCTTCTAGTGGAAACATTGAAACTAAGCTTTTTTTCCTAGAGCTTGTGCTCTGTTGGGGTGTTTATTGATATGGCCTCTTGTCATTTTTTAACATTTACATTCTTTTAGTGTTCCAAATCCCCACTTGTTCTTTATCTCTGTTTGGGCATTTGTGTTAAATGTACTTATAAAGTGAAGCTATATCTATGGTTACAGAGGACAGTAGGTGTAGAAGGAAATACTAAATGTCTGCATTCATATTTAAAGTTGATTTTAGTTTAAACATTAGTGACATTGATTTCATGGAAAAGAGACACTGTCTTTAGTTTAATTCTTCAGGATAAGTCTTTCAGTGGATTATTTCTTTAGGAGCAGGTTTTGACCTGCATTTATATCTAGATTATATGATAAATTGCATTTTAATGGAGTTGAAATGTAACTTACCATTGTTGTACCTCTACATTGCCATTTATTCTACTGGTTGGATCAACCCTCATGATAACCATGAAGTAGATTAGCCTTTTTGCTAGGGAAAAAAAAAATCGTCAGAGGTAACCAGAAGGAATTGCAACTCTTAGGTTAAAGAATGTAAATTTTATATATTACTAGGCTGTGGATTTTAATTTCACTCTGGAATTTCTACATTATTTCAAAGTATTGTATTTTGAAATAATTTAGATATAAGGAGAGAGAAAAGCCGTTGTATGAACAGTGGTAACATGTTTTTTATTATATAGCCACATGTAGAATATTATAATCACTTTTATTTTTATTTCTTGTGTATTTCATCTTCCAGCTGTCTTGAGGTAGGAGCTGAACAGAAATCTTTCTTTTTAATTGATAGCAAAGACTCTTAGATAAAGAGGCCTGGCTGAGTTGTTGGGGTATTTTCTCCTCAACATTGCCTAAGTTTTACATGTCAGTAAGATAATACATTACATCAGATTTGTTTAGTACAAAGTAATACAGCAAACAGCTCTAATTGTAGCATTATGTATGTATATTTCAATGAAACCTCGTATGTTCAAAAGCAAAACCGCATATCTTGAGAATCAGTGTTCGTTTTACAAAGCTAAATAAAATATATTTTATTTTATCAAGCAGATTTTTTTACAATGCAGTTTTATTTTTCAGTTGCTTATTTCTCTTCAAAAATAAAACCCTTTTTTTATGTACTCACTTTCCCTTCTGGCTGCAAACCAGGTATTTAAACAAAAATAAAGGATTGCCAGTTTTGCCAGCTGGGGATGAGAACCCGGCTGGTGAAATGTGGGTTCGGGAGGCAGTTAATCCAGCTTTTATGCTTTTTATGGTTTTATGAAAAAAGAGGTTAAAAGCTACATTTGGCTCTTTATTGTATGTACCACTGTTTTGTTGCTGTTGTAGGAATGCAGTAAAAGGTTACTTAGATTTAAAAAATTTTGTTATTAGGTAAAATCTTGCGTCTATTAGATAAAGGCCTACAAACAGTACATTCTACTAATTGGATATGGGAGAGATTCAAGAGTCACTGGTATTTAAAAATTATATATACAGTATTTCCTTTAAGTACACAAGTAGAATTCCTTCTACTTCAAGTTGTTTCTTGTTTTCTGTATGTTCTCACATTACTCATTTCAAACAAGTAGAAATTTTAAATATTTTTGGCTAAAGATAGAAACTAGAATTTATTGTTTTCCCCAAAAACATCTTGCTTAGTTTGTTATTTACAAAAGGGTTTTGGAAAAATTTAGAAACTGGACTTATGTTTATATATTGCCAATGCAGTTTCTAGTTGTCTTTAGCCACGAAACAATGATACAATTGAATTAATACTAGGGATGTAATGTACAATATGATAAATATGGTTAACATGCTGTATGTTACATATGAAAGTTGTTGAGAGTAAACCCTGAGTTCTCATCACAAGGAAAAAAATTTTTTTCTAATTCTTTAATTCTGTTTCTGTATGAGATGATAGATGTTCATTAAAGTTATTATAGTAATCATTTCATGATGTATATAAGTTAAATCATTATGCTGTACACCTTAAACTTACACAATGCTGTATATCAATTATCAAGCTGTATGTCAATTATGTCTTGGTAAAACTGGAAGAAAACAATCTTTTCGTAGCATTTGAGAACACTATTAAATAGATCTTTAGGTAACATAGTTTTTTTCTTAAAATTAAATTCTCCACCTTTAAATACCCTGTCTACCAAAGTGCCTTTCATAGTATTTATAGTAATCATAGTGTAGCTGTCAAAAATATTATGTGCGTTTTACGAAATTATTAGTTAAATTTTAAATAAAAGTCACATAGGTGTAATCTTCAACAACATACTTACTTAGCTCAAACTAAGAAAGTTTAAAACATGAGTACTACTTTGTTCTGTATCAAATTCTCTCCAATGTCATCAATTATAAGATTTTTCTGATTGATTAATTTCATGTATATGGTTTTCTTGATCTGTTTATCCCAAAGCTAAGAGGATCAGATAAAGTAAGCTTTAAGATTATTCAAATATAGTATCTTAAAATAAAATATTGAAAGATCCAAATAGATAAAGAAAATTCCATTGGTTGAGGAACATATGCAGTAGAAGGGTAAATCAAATTTTACCTTTCTGGGACAAATGGCACGTCATCATGTTTCAGTTTGAACAGGTTGTTCTAACATAGCCTAACTTATACTTGCGTATTGTTTCTTACTAAATTCATTTTACATGTAATGTGTTTTGGGAAATAAATTTAAGGTCATATACCCTACAAATATTGAGTCCATAATTTTTATTGTTCGTGTTTAATAGAAATTGTTGTGAGGTAGTTAAACTTTGGATACTAAAGTTTATTACAACCCAAACAGTAAATCTTTATATTCACCTGTTGCTTAAATATTTCCTGAAAGAGTTTAAACATTTAGGGGCCTCCAAAAGTTTTTATATTTATTTTCATGGTTGTCATGCCCTGGACTCTTCTCTAGTACATTGCATTTGTTTATTCGTATCATTCAGTGTTTGATTTGTAGTAGTTGGTTCTTCTCAGTACAAGAATGTGGTAGACACATTATGTTCTCTATAATCAGCACAGTTTAGCTCTAAGTTGTTACTTAAAGTCCATGTTAGTGGAACCAGAATGAAAAATTAAGTAGGCCTAAATGAAAATATGCAAATAGTTTTCATTTGATCCTTAGGGCACTCATACATTCATTTACTTAGAATCTGTTGCAATACCTTTTTTGGTACCCAGTCATTTCTGGATATATATTGAACATTTCACATATTTGGTGTGATTTATATCTTTTGTAGGATGCTTCATAATTTAAATGTCAAGATCTCAGAATAGCCTACCTAGGTTATGTAAAAATCTTATGTTTTATAAATAATACTTTAAAAGCTAACGTGTAAAAATTGATCTTTTACTGGTTTCACTTTTAGGTGTTAGAAGATAATGACTATGGCCGAGCCGTGGATTGGTGGGGCCTTGGGGTTGTCATGTATGAAATGATGTGCGGGAGGTTACCTTTCTACAACCAGGATCATGAGAAACTTTTTGAACTAATTCTAATGGAAGACATTAAATTTCCTCGAACACTCTCTTCAGATGCAAAATCATTGCTTTCAGGGCTCTTGATAAAGGATCCAAATAAACGGTAAGCCGCAAATAACACACAGTGAGTTACTGATGAATGTGGTTAGGAATTGTGATATGGAAATTAATTCAAATATAACTGACTCCAAGAAGCAATGTATTTGGTGTAGACATCTTCCTACTGAGACACTGACTTATTTTTAACTGCATAATATAGAACATTTAAAAAATTCCCTCAACTCTTTCCTAACTTGGAAATTTTATACAGATTTTACCACATAAAGATTTTGAGAGTTTTATGAACAAACACTTTCTTAATTGCCATGGTGCTTGCTATTGTGGGGATAGGAGGATCCCTTTTTTCCTTTCAGTCTCTGGGCTTTATATTTCTGCTGATTTACATTATAAAACAGATAGAACTGTCTCTATACTCTCCTCCCACATGTATGTATGTTAACATATCTAACTACTTTTTTTGTTTGTCTTTGAAGATAATTCTTTTCCACGCATGGCTGAAAGGACTAATGGCAAAAAGTGTCTTTGCATACTTTGTATTTCTATTTTTGTAACTATAGCTATGACCTGAGGAATCCTACAGCTCTTTGCTTAATGAGCTGTAGTATTCATTGTTCATGTTTATATATTTATTTACACATACATTTTATAAGTCCTACATGAAATGAGTATTAATTTTAAAATATCCCTTAATATATGTGTTTGTATATACATGTGTATATTCTTTGTTCCAGTAGATATATACGCATATCAGTATGTCTCTGAAAATCTCTTAGCCCTTAAGCGTCTTAAGGGTAGGCCATTTCATATATTGTTTAATCTTTTGTAACACCTCACATAATTTTTGTTAATGTTCTGTTTGTGGTTGATGCTCAGTATGTATTTGTTGACAGACTGAATTAATGAGTGAAGGAATAAATGAATTTTAAATTGTGGGCTTTGTCTACCTTAGAGATGGTTTCCATCACATACTTCTAGCTTTTAAATTTGTGAGGAACATGATTTTACCTTCAGCAGAAATAAGCAAACATAATAAAAGACGTGCCACCTTTATGCTTCGTGAAGAACCATTCAAACATGTTTCATAATTCTAGTAACTGAAACCTTACCTTATATTTATAAAGTGAATTTGTGTTCTTTGTCAGGACATTTGCACATCTCTTGTGTCCCTTGCTTTTTAGTAGCCTGTGGAGTAGGTAGGATAGATATTATTCTCATTTCCATTTGACAGCAGAAAATGAGGCCCAGGGAGGGTTACGTGATTTATCCTAGTTCTCACAGAAAATTCCTGCAGAACAAGAATAGAAATCAAGTTTATACTTGCCTATTTGATATTTCTCTTGTATCTTCTTTACAGTGCACCGTTTTCTTAGTTTAGGTTTTAAAATGTATTCCATTTGATGTGATTGTTTCACAACTATTGTAGCAAGTGGTACTGGCAATAGATAATCTTTATATAGAGCTAGGATTTCAATTTTATCTAGTTGAGTTTTGGATCTAATATTTGCCTTAGATTTCAAGGGCAGTGAATTTTTAACCCATCTTTTTCTGACTCCTTCTGGTTTTCATGTCTATATCTCATTCATTTTTTTATTGTCATTTCCCACCCTCCACCCGCACCCTACCCCCTGGGGATAGCACGTAGTAGGCACTTAATAATTGTTGAATACACGTGAGGTAAATTTCTAGAATGTTAGTGGCCTGGTATGTAGGACAACTCCTAAAGTTTTGTCTACCCAGAGGTTGATATTGTCTAAAGAGAAGATGTGGTATTTTTAACTATCTGTTATTTCCTTTTAAGGTAAATATGTCAAGCCCCTCCACTGCTACATTAAAATATTGGGAATGCAAGGATAAATAAAATGGGTAATCTCTGCTCTAGTTGTTCATAGAATAATGTAGGGCACAAAACATGTATTCACAGATGCTCAGGTTAAACTACGTACAAATGCTTTTGATATTATTAGCTGTTAAGGGGATTGGAAAACTTGAGCTGGCTTATGAAGGAGTTGCAATTTGCAGTGGCTTTCATGAAGAGAATTTTACATGTAAATAACAGCTAGAATTGCAAATGAACGTGGCATTTGAGAAGTTCAGCAACTGGAGTGTAGAATATGAGTTGGGTAACATTGGCAGATGAAGCCGATATGTTAGATTGTAAGGACCTTATCTTTCTTAGAAAATATTTAATCTTTATTCAGAAGGGCATGAGAAGCCACTGAATTATTAAAAGTAAGGGATGGTGTAATCAGGGCTGTGTTACGAAAAGGTAACTCAGGGAGCTTTGTCATGGATAGATTAGAACAGTGAAGCGCCAGTGGCATGTAGGCAGAGTAATTAAGAATACATATGGAATTGTCCAGATAAGAGATGGAGTCCTTCCTAAAGCAGTTCTAAAGAGTGCTAAATAGAAGTTTGTGAATGATTAAATAGAAATGGTGAGGAAGGGGAAGGAGTCAGGATACCTCTGAGGTTTCCAACTTGGATGACTAGTTTGGAGAATGGAATTTTTATTAACAGAGAAGGAGTACAGGCAAAGGAGGAGGCTTGATGGGGTGGATGTTGATATTAGTTTTGCTATACCGAGTCTGAGGTTTCTATAGAAAACCTAGATGTCAAGCAGGCAGCTGAAAATAGTACCAGTGCTTAATAGAAACACAATAACTAATTTTCTCTGGGTATATGTCCAGGAGTGGGATTGCTGGGTCATATGGTCAAACTAAAAACTATTTTTAGTTTTTTAAGAAACCTCCATACTGTTCCCCATAGTGGCTGTACCAGTTTACATTCCCACCAACAGTGTAGGAGGGTTCCCTTTTCTCCACCTCCTCTCCAGCATTTATTGTTTGTAGATTTTTTGATGATGGCCGTTCTGACCGGTGTGAGGTGATACCTCATTGTAGTTTTGATTTGCACTTCTCTAATAATTAGTCATGTTGAGCATCTTTTCACATGTTTATTGGCCATCTGTATGTCTTCTTTAGAGAAATGTCTATTTAGGTCTTCCGCCCATTTTTTTATTGGGTTGTTTGTTTTTTTGATACTGAGCTGCATGAGCTGTTTGTATATTTTGGAGATTAATCCTTTGTCCATTGCTTCATTTGCAAATATTTTCTCCCATTCTGAGGGTTGTCTTTTCATTTTGCTTATGGTTTCCTTTGCTGTACAAAAGATTTTAAGTTTCATTAGGTCCCATTTGTTTATTTTTGTTTTTATTTTCATTACTCTAGGAGGTGGGTCAGAAAAGATCTTGCTGCAATTTATGTCAAGGAGTGTTCTGCCTATGTTTTCCTCTAAGAGTTTTATACTGTCCGTCCTGACATTTAGGTCTTTAATCCATTTTGAGTTTATTTTTGTGTATGGTGTTAGGGAGTGTTCTAATTTAATTCTTTTACATGTAGCTGTCCAGTTTTCCCAGCAAAGATGAACTTATTTGCAAAGCAGAAATAAAGACACAGATTTGGTATCCACAAACTTATGGATACCAAGGGCGGAAGGATGGGGTGGGATGAATTGGGAGATTGGGATTGACATATATACACTACTATGTATAAAAGAGATAACTAATGAGAACCTACTGTATAGCACAGGGAACTCTATTCAATGCTTTGTGTGACCTAAATGGGAAGGAAATCTAAAAAAGAGGGGACATATGTGTACGTATAACTGATTCACTTTGCTGTACAGAAGAAACTAACACAACATTGTAAAGCAGCTATACTCCAATAAAAATTAATTTAAAAAAAAGAAACACAAAACTGAATATTTGGATTTGAGATCTGTAGATATCTAGGAGGTAGCTGGAGCCATGAGAATAGTGAAAAGAATAGAATATAAAAAGAAGGCAGCCTAGGACAGAGTCTTGGGAAATGTCAAAATTTAAGAGGTAGAAAGAAGAGAAAGAGCCAACAAAAGGACGCTTCCAAAAGTCTTTGCAAACGTAATCAAAGCTAGCACTATAGTATACCTCTTTATTATTCCTATTCAACTATTTTAAATACTGCCTGAATTTCTCTGATACTCTTTACCGAATTGCTATCAGTTCCATCAAAGAGTCAGCTCTCATCTTGCTTTTATTTCTTATTCTGCATTGCGTTATGATTATTCTATCAGTATCTCCTTTAGCCTCCTATGCAAATTTTGTAGGAAAAGCATGACCTCATGTTGCATTCAATAACACAAGGAAAATGTGAATTAGATGTTGTTTCTAGTTATGAAGAATCCATAGTAGCTGAGGATTTTAGTTTGGCTTTCTGATATGGGAATTTGGTATTCTTAGACAAAAATATCTTAATGTAAATTATATTTTGATATAATTTTGAAGTTTTAAATTGTATATTAGGGAGTCATTGACGTTGAAATTTTTGACAGTTTCACACTTTGAAGAAGCTTGTGTTAAAGAATCTCTACCAACTTCTAAAATGGCAGCCTAAGATTATATTCTTAGTCTTTGTATAGCATTCATGGCCGATACTTTAATTTTGTATGTATTTGATAAATATAGATTAAATGCTGTCTATGTCCAAAGCCAAACTATTGCTAGAGAATTGAGGGGTGGCATAAAAATGAAAAACTGAAGCTGAATTAAAACCTTTTAATTACAAAAATGATTACGGTTCTCCATTCCAACTCCTACCTCATCCATCATCTCATATATATAATTAAGATTGAAAACAGTATTGAAATAAACAATAACATAAATGTAAGAAAATACAATGAACTGCTGATTTTTCTTGTGCATACTACTTTAATGCATACTTTGAAATGTTGAATAATTCTTTTCAGAAGCCTGTGTCTTGGTGTTTCTGCTTTCCTGGCTCCCTAAGCACAAGCTTTAAAATGCTTTTTGGATAATCCAGTACTGAACTCTCCCCTCCAAAGAATTTGCATTCTACCAGGAGAGAGACATATACAACTTGAAATAGAATGTAAAAGAGTGAGGCCAGGGAGTCAAGTGCCGAGTGTTAACTAAGTATAGATTTGCCAGTCTGAAAGTTGCAAATATGCATGCAACTATTATGATCTGATCCAATCTAAAAGTTCCATATCAGGAGTGTAGTTTATTCTGTATGAATCTTGAGATAGGAGACCTAGATAGTGGGAACTATAGGATCATCACTACAGATATTCAGATATCAGCTAATTGTTTTGTTTTCCATTCTGACAGTGTGTCAGAGGATCCTGGATTCTTCCCAGTCATGTATTTCTTATACCTAATAATAACCAGAATTCATTAAAATTGTATAATTGTTTGTTTTCTATGACCTACTTGTGTTTCTTCTTACTCAGTGTTGTGCTGGGAGTTGAAATGTACCAGTTTAGAATAGCCAATTGTTAAATTTGAAAAATTTTGTGAGCAGGTTGTTGAATACAGTCATTATTAAATATTAAATTATATAAACTTACAGTTAAATCAGGAACATTAAAATCACGGGTAAAAAATACTCAAAACTCATCACTCTTTAATAATGTTGTTAAATTTTACTCTTATCTATGCTTTTGAGGTTACTTATCTATTTTGCTTATATATTTTGAGGTTAGAAATACTATATAATGTTTTACTTCCACACATCTTGTATCAGTAAAAATAATAATATATATAAAATGCATTATATTGTATATGCATAATTTCCCTCAGAGAGCTGATTGTTAAGCATTTACCAGCACATATCATTCCTAACGATGAGTAAAATCAAATAAAACTTGCTGTATCAAATTCAGATTTAAATACATTTCCTTTCTTTTCCTCTTTCTTTCCCTGTCCTTTCTTTTTTTCTCTTTTTCCTCTTTCCCTCCCACGTTACTTCCTTCTCTGTTTTTTTTCTGTTTCTCTCATCCTTTCTTCATAGTGACTAGTAGGTACTGTGTGAAACTGAGAAAGCTAGAAAGCACCTGAATTTCAGATTGTGTCAGGTATCAGTTGAATAACATTTCCTTCAAAGATGGGGTGGGAGTATTCTAAATTTTTAATTTATATTGAAACTTGCATAGCATATTATATTGCAGTGATATTTCATAGATTAAATTTATCATTTCTGTGAAAATTCATTTGAGATATGAAAATACTCCATGAGTTTCTGTCTGTTAGCAATGCTCTCCAAATTGTTTTTTCTAAGTAATTATCTAGTCTTTCCAGAATTTATGTTAACAAGGGTACATTTTGACTAAAGTCGTTCTAAAATAAATTTGGTTTATAGAATTGACAATACCATTTATTGTGCTAGGTACTTATGTTATTTCTAACCCTTGCAATAATCCACCAGGCTGGTATTATTAATCCCATTATACAGATGAGAAAACTGAGATTAAGCAACTTTTTTATTGTCATATATCTCATAAATTTCTGAGCCGATTGCCTGTTTCAGGTTTGTCTCCAAAGCCTATGCTCTTTTCAAATACCATACTGTCCTGAGGCTAGTTCTTATTAATAGCATATTAGGAAAATTAGATCTTACAATAAAAGCTTTTTATTTTTATGGCTATTTATCACAAGAACTATTTACACACAGAAAATTACATTTCACAAAAACTTTGTAGTTATGCATTCAGCTTATGTAAACGTTTTATACTCATTTAATTTTATTTCTGTCCTCGCAGCCTTGGTGGAGGACCAGATGATGCAAAAGAAATTATGAGACACAGTTTCTTTTCTGGAGTAAACTGGCAAGATGTGTATGATAAAAAGGTAGGTTATCTTCATGGCATAGTGTTTATATATTTTGGTTAAAATGAATTTACAGCAAAAAAAATTTTAAGTGAATAAAAGTGAATGATGTAATTATATTTTTCATTTTTACTCAGTCATTTAATTGAATGTAGGACTCCTTAGCACAAAATTTTCTTGATAGTTTTGACTCCCGAAATGCATTTTGAAATTTTATTCAATGTGATCAAACAGTTTTTCTTTTTTATCACAATAATTTGTTAGTTTGCTTCTCATCATTTCCTTAATTCATAAAAAATAAAGGCACCGATGTTATGTTATTCTTCAGGAAAATTAACTAGCAAAACAATCATAATTTTAAAACTTTGTCTCTATGCCTTTCATTTTAAAGTGAGCTCTTATTTATTTATACAATTTATTATTTTAAAAGGAATTTAAAGCAATTTAGTTTTAATATTTAACCAAGTAATAAATTTATTTGTCTTCTTTGGAACATCTCTGTTATTTGAAACAGAACTTAAAGACCCAGAGAATGGATGCTACAAATTATATAATTTTATTTTTACTGTAATCTGCTTAGTACTTGTTTTTAATACTGCAGTGTTTAAGTTTAGGAACAGGAAATTATTTTGTTTGTTCTTTTAAATTTTTTTATTTTTACTACTTCAGATATTGTTAGTACAGACACTGATTTTTATATTTTGATTTTCAAATGCTCATATAAAAATTTTACTATGAAATTTTTATGTAGTTCAGCATTTGCTTAGAATTATTATCTAGTCATTTTGTGTAGTTAGTCCTTCCATTTCAATTTATTCCAGGTTTCCATATTTTTCTCTAAAACATATATCAATCAACATTTATGTAGTGTCTACTTTGTGCCAAATATTCTTCTCTATTAAACCCTAAAGATAGAATGATATCATATGAGTTATGAGGAAGTGAGATGAGTACTTCAACTGTATTATGTTACAGTAATAGGGAGTGTGGTGATTTTGTAAGCATTTACTGTAAATAGGTATTTAAAATAGTTGCACCATGTTATGATACCTCTACTCAAACTTCACTTCAATTAAACTTACATCTCTTCAGCTCGGTGCTTTGTGACCACCTAGAGGGGTGGGATAGGGAGGGTGGGAGGGAGATGCAAGAGAGAGGAGATATGGGGATATGTGTGTATGTATAGCTGACTCACTTTGTTATAGAGCAGAAACTAGCACACCATTGTGAAGCAATTATGCTCCAATAAAGATGTTAAAAAAAAATTTTGAGTTTCTACCATGTATAAAGCACTGAGGTAAGTATTGGATCCTTCTCAAACCTTATGAGAAGGTTGTGACCATTCTTAAGTTTCCTCAGTGTTTATTAACTTCATGTAGACAGTTATACATCCACTTTATAACACTGATGATATTCTTTATGAGTTGCATCCATATATAGCCCCTAATGCACTATGTACTGTTTATCATGTCAGTACACTATAAAAGAACCTGAAATTGGGAGACTGGGATTGACATATATACACTAATATGTATAAAATAGATAACTAATAAGAACCTGCTGTATAAAAAAATAAATAAAATTAAATTAAAAGAAAAAAAGAATCTGAAAAGTATCAAGATCTTGGCATGTCTCCTAGAAATAATATATGGTCAGAGGTTTTCTTTGGCAGGCAAAGTTATAAGCCACAACTAAATATTCCTTTGATATACCCTGTCCAAGGAGGATTCCACCACAACCACCAACAGCAAAATATGACAGAAAGAAAAATTTCTTTAAGAGACAAATGTAGAGCACCAGTATGGCACTGCTAACCTTAAAGAAGGGGCAAAACATGGACTTTCTTCAGTCCTATTCAGAGAGTAAGATATGCTACAAAGATTTCATCATCAGCATGCAGCTTTTCATGTTAAATTGTAGTTTGGCATCATCTAGAGAACGCTCTGAGAACCCACCTACCACACAGTGAAGAAGCAAGGCTTATCCTGTCACTGTTCCACTGGGCTCAACATGCCCAGAGCAAAGCTACTATTAAGATGTCTACTCAGGCAGCTCCCTTGTGGTGAATGGAACTGGAGAAGCCTGCAAGTAGGGTAGGAGAAGGAGCTGCCAAAGCACAGCTTTGGGTGATATATGTGAAGAAATGAGTTTAAATTGTTAGTATGTTGATAAAAATAGTTGCTACTTAATTTGAGCAAAGGTGTTAGCTATCTTGCATAAAGAAGCACAACCACAAAAATCACAAAGTTTCTACACTCATATACGCCTGCTACAGGTTTACTCTGGGGGTATGGGTAGTATACTGGATGTCAGATGAGGTACTAATGTTTTCAGCCATCTTCACACACCTGAAGAAGAACAGCGTCATAGCAGCATGCTTAAATTTTGAAACTCCTTCTAAAAGGATGTGAAAATACGATTGGTTTTATTTGGGTTTGTATTGTATCACTAACAAACAAGGAATTAATTATAGGAATGCTAATGCCAGTAGCTATTTTAATGAATTCATTTGTAATTCTAGTGTTTTCAAACATTTTTAAGGGGTCCTATGTCTTTAAAACACGTAACTTATTCATAAAAGATTAATTCATCTCTAAGATCAGGTATTTTTTTATTACAGTTTTACTAATGTGCTTTGGGACATTTACTATTTTTATACATTTCTTCCATGATTATTGGCCATTTTTCTATATATTGTGGCAAACCCAGAAATGAAGGCACATGTAAATATCCTGGCATCTTTAGGGGAAAGCTAAATCTCTTCCTAGGCAAAGTTAAAAGTGAATTAATCTTAATTACAAGTATCATGATGTACCACTCTAAAGAACTTGGTACTGGAAGGTGGAAATACTCATCCTGGATCTGTTTCTTCCCTCTTGTGTGGAAATGGACAAGTTGTTTTACTCCCACATAAAATTATGATCTTTGAAGTATCTTCAAGCTTTAGGATTCTCCGGTAGGATATTTCATAATATGAATTAATCTAGTTAAATTTCTATATAAGATTTATACTCAGTTTGTCAACATCTACAAAAAAGCCTGCTGGGATTTTCTGTGAGATTATGTTCAATTTATAGAAAAATCTGGGAAGAATTGGCATTTGAACATGCTATACGTCTACATTTATTTAGGTCTTCTTTAATTACTCTCAGGAATGTTTCATAATTTTCAGTGTTTAGTTCTTACCCATATTTTGTTAAATTTATCCATAAGTATTTCATGTCTTCTGATGTGGATGGTATTTTAAAATTTCATTTCCATATTGTTTGCTACCAGTAGAAATAGGCTTGATTTTTGTATATTGACCTTGTATCCTACAAGCTATTAGTTTTAGTAGCTTTTTTTGTACATGACTTAGAGTTATCTAAATAGATGATCATATCTTCTATAAATAAAAAGTTTTACTTCATTTTCAATCTGCACGTATTTTATTTATTTCTTTTGCCTTATTATATTGGCTAGGACCTTTCTACAAAGTGGAATAGAAATGATGAGAGTTGACATCCTGGCTTTGTTTCTAATCTTAGGGAGAAAACATTTTTTACCATTAAATATGACATTAATCACATCTAGCACCTAAATCTTCATTACTAAATGTCATTCTCCAGTAAAAAGAACCAAGGTTATTTGGAGAAGTAGTTGATCCCACAGCTGGGATGGGGAAAATAAAAGAAGAGCCCAAGGAATTTTGTGGTACCAGAAAATTAAAAAACGAAGGTAGATGGAAAAAGGTGCATGTTTGTACGACACAGGAGCCAACCTTAAATAATTCCCAGTGGTGAAAGCTGGGACAATTTCAGTAGCAAAACAAATATTGTATATGACCAAAAAGATAAGATACATATCCATGAGTCTATACTGCAGAAATTAATGATTGAACAAATAGATAAAATATTGAGAACAGACATGTCTTCATTGTAGGTGAATTCCGGTTAATAAATGTAGAAGGAATCAGGGAAATAGAAAATTACCATTAAAACACCAGAGTGTTTTACCATTACCATTAAAACACCAGAGTAAAAACACCTGTATGCAAGATGGTAATTAAAATTACCATTAAAACACCAGAGTAAAAACACCTGTATGCAAGATTCACCAATGAATGTTAAAATTAGTGGGCAAAAGTTTAAGAAGGAGGATATTTGCATGGTGTCAACATATCTTTCCCCAAATACTTATTTACAAAGATTAAACGAGTAATTTTACAGTAAAAAGCCCTGGCAAACACTGTCTTAAACCAAGTGATCAAGATTAATATCACCAGTAATAAGACACTGAAATCATTATAACCCATGATATGATGCCCTGAGAAGGCTGTATCACTTTTGTACTATATTCCCTCAAAATGCATAACCTCAGTATAATCATGAGAAAACCTAAGAAACCCTCAAAAGTGTCAACTTCATGAAAGGCAAGGAATGATTGTGAAACTTTCACAGATTGGAAAAGACTAAGGTGACATGATGACTAAATTCAATGTGGGATTCTAGATTGGATCTTGGAATAGAAAAGGGCCATAAGTGGAAAAACTGGTGAAATGTAAATAAATTTGGTAGTTAATACTTTTGTACCAATTTAATTTCTTAGTTTTGATAACTGTACTATGGCTATATAAACTATTAGCATCAGGGGAAGGTGTGTAAAGGGTATATGGGAACTGTTTGTACTATTTTTCTAAGTCTTTTCTAAGCCTAAAATTATTTCAGTATAACAAGTTATAAAACTTTGATCTAAGTGTAGGGTTTTTTTTTTTTTTTCTTGTGGTACGCGGGCTTCTCCCTGTTGTGGCCTCTCCCGTTGCGGAACACAGGCTCCGTACGCACAGGCTCCGGATGTTCAGGCCCAACAGGCATGGCTCAGGGGCCCAGCCGCTCCTCGGCATGCGAGATGCGGGATGCGGGATCCTCCCAGACCGGGGCACGAACCCGCATCCCCTGCATCGGTAGGCCGACTCTCAACCACTGCACCACCAGGGAAGCCCTAAGTGTAGGGTTTTTAATACCTCCTTTATTGGGTTGAGG